TAGAAGACACAAATTTGACTAACAAGTTATAAGTACATGAGTCAAAAATTATGGAAAAGTAAAAGAAAAGATTCTTTCATTGTTTTACAAACGCTCCCCCAGGTCCCCTCCACCATGTAGCCCTCGCTCTAGTACATGACAGTTTCTTTATTCATTCACCTATTGAAGGATATCTTGTTTCCTTTTAATTTATGGTACTTATGAATAAATCTACTTTAATATTGGAGTACATATTTTTAAATGGGATTTTCCACTCATTTTAATAAGGAAGGAAGGAGGTGCTGGCCGGGTGAGGTGAGGGAATGGAGCTGGTTGCTGGCCAGGTGGGGCAGGAGGGACAAGGCCACAACACATGTTCCACAGTAAGGGGGGGCGGGTCCAACATCAAATCTGATGGCAGTGTAATGGGGATGAGCTCTTTTTAATGGGGATCTGTTCTTTTGGATGAAATGCTTGTCTGTGAGATAATGCTCTAAAGCTGAGCATGCCTGTCTGTCAGTTAACTGTGCTAAAGCTGAGTATCCAAATTAAGGCAAATTAGGGAGAAGGATTGGCCATCTACTTCTGAAATAACAGGCCTTCGAAAACCCTATTTACAGTAGAGTACAGTTGGCTTGGACTAGCAGATATGGCACCAGAGGCTGAGTCTTTTGGTATTGGAAATCACAGAGGAGGGGGAACAGATGTAAACACACACTCATGAGTGGAATGTGGAAAATATGGATTGAGGAAAAATGGACATTGTTAATGAAAAAATAGAATGCATAAGTATAGACATACTAGGCATTGGCAAAATGAGATGGATTGACATGAAATATTTTGAATCAGACAATACTATGATCTACTACACTGGAAATGAGAAAGTGATAAAAAAATGGGTCACTTAGTTTAAAAGACCATTTCTAGATCCATCTTGAAATACAATGTTGTGACAGACTAATATCCATACACGTTAAAGGAAGAACTATTAATACCAGTCTCAGTCAAATATATGTACCAACAACCAGAGGCAAAGAGGAGGAAATAGATAACTTCTACCACCTTTTGCAGTCAGAAATCGATCGAACATGCAAGCAAGATACGTTAATAATAATATATGACTAGAATGCAAAAGTTGGGAAAAGGGAAGAAGGATCAGTAGTCAGAAAATGTGGACTTGGTGACAGAAATGGGGCTGGAGAGAAAATGATAGAATTGTGTACGAACATGATTTATTCATGGCAAATACCTTTTATAAGAAACAGTGACTATACATATGGGCTTCACCTGATGGAAAGAATCATTGGCGAAGCTCAGTATCAACTGTGAAAAGTAGGCCAGGTGCTGATTGTAGAACAGACCATATGCAAGTTCAAGCTGAAACTAAAGAAAATTAAATCCACCAGAACCAAAATTTGACCTTGGATCTCTCCCATCGGAATTTTAAAACCACCTCAGGAGCAGATTTGAGGCCTTGAACCAGATGAGCTGTTGAGAGGATATGAAGAAAATCATCCAGGAAGAATCGGAGGAGGAAGAAAAGACTTGAGATGGATGTCAAGAGACTTCTCTGCACTAGAGTGCTGAGAAGCCAGACAAAGGGAAGAAATCAGAAAGTTAAAGAGCTGAACAGAAGATTTCCTAGGGCAGCTTGGGAAGACAAGGCTAAGTATTATAATGGAGTTGGAAAACAAAATGGACAGAGGAAGGTGAGGAAACTGAAGAACAAGTTGAGTCCCGAATTTTAATACTTAAGTATGCTGTCAACAGAAAGAAAATAAAAGAAGATGAAAGGAGAATACAGAGTCACTGTACAACAAAGAATTGGCTAACACAAAAGAATTTCCAGAAACAACATTTGACCAAGAGACAATGGTGATGAAGAAGGAAGTTCAAGTTGCTCTGATGGAATTGGGAAAAAACAAGGCCCCAGAAATTGATGGGATACCAATAGACGTGTTTCAGCAAACCGGTGCTGCCCTGGAGGCACTAACCAGGCAAGCCAAGAAATCTGGAGGACAACTAAATTGAAGAGATCCATATTTATTCCCATTCCAAAAAAAAGGTCTCAGACAGAGTGTGGAAATTATCAAACAATAAAATACCACACACAAACAAAATCCTGCTGAAGATTATCCAAATGACTGGAAACATTGACAGAGAACTGCCAGAAGTGCAAGCTGCATTTAGAAAAAGCTGTGGCACTAGGGACATCATAGCCATTGTCAGATGGGTCTTGGCTGAAAGTAGAGAGTACCAGAGGAATATCTGTATGTGTTTCATTGACTAGTCAAAGGCATTTGACTGTGGATCACAACAAATTGTGGCTAACTTTGAGAAGAATAGGAATCCCAGAATACTTGATTGTTCTCAGGCACTTCCTGATTAGATCAGGAAGCAGTCATCAGAACAGAGCAAGAAAACACTACATGGTTCAAAATCAGAAAAGGAGTGCATCCGGGATGCATCCTGTCTCCATACCTTTTCAGTCTATATTTGGAACAGATTATTTGAGAGGCTGGACTTTATGAGGAGGAGTGTGACATCAGAATTGGAGGAAGATTCATCACCAACCAGCATCATCCAGATGACAACCTTGTTTGCCAAAACTGAGGAGGACCTGAAGCTTTTGCAGCAGAAGGTCAAGGATTACATACTGTCTTCAGTATGGACTGAAGCTCAACATCAAGAAGAAATATTCTCTTCATTGGGCCAACTGGCAGCACTATGATTGATAGAGAAAATATTGAGATTGTTATCAGTTTTGTCTTACTTAGCTCCACAATCAGCATTCTTGGCAGTCAGGAAATTAAAAAAAGTGAATTGTAATAGGTAAATATGCTGTCAAGGACTTTTCCAGAGTCCTGAAAAGCAAGGATGTCAGTCTAGAGACAAAGATGCACTTGAACCAAGCTGTTGTCTTCCTAATTATTTGCTCTGCGTCAGAAGGCTGGACAATGACTAAGGATGATAGAAGAATTGATGCCTTTGAGTTATGGTGCTAGAGAAGAGTATTGAGCCATGACAAGAGACAAGAGATAAGTCTGCCCTGGATAGGGGGAAACCAAGTTGCTTCTTGGAGGCAAGGATTTTGAAGCTCTGTTTCACATACTTTGGGCATGTTGTTAAGAGGGACCAGTCCTTGGAGATGGACATCATGCTTGGAAGGGTGGAAGGACAGTGCAGGAGAGGAGACCCTGGATGAGACGGGTTGACACAATTACTGGGGTAATGGAGGTAGGTGTGTTAGAGACAGTGAGATTCCCCCAGAATAAGTCTGGATTCAGAACTATTGTGCATAAGTTCAGTGTGAGTCACATGTAATTTGATGGCACATAACAGTCACACCATTGCTGAATTACTTGGCAAGCCTATGATTAGCTTTATAAGAAACTATTAGTCTGTCTTCCAAGGTGACTATACCATTTTTGCATTCCAACCAACATTGAAAGGGGAGTCTCATAGCCAACTGGTAAAGAATTGCATTGCCAACCCAAAGGAATGCCAGTCGAATCCACCAGATGCTTCATAGGAGAAAAATAGGCAACCTCCTTCCGTGCAGTTTGATTTGCAACCTCTGAAAACTCACTGGAGGATCAGCTATAAGTCAGTTCACACTTGATGGCATATAATACCACCTCAAATATTGAATGAGAGTTCCCATTGTTCCATACCCTCACCAGTATTTGATGTGCCAATGTCTTTTTGTTTTAGCCCTTTTAATAGGTAAATAGGATGTCTTGTTGTAATTAACAATTCTTTAATGACATAATGTTGAACATTTTCATATGCTTGTTATTCACCATCTATAACTATGTCATATTTGTATATTTGATGAGATTTCTGTTCAGAATTTTTTCCCATTTTGTATTTGTATTATTTTACTATTGAATGTGATGCTATTTGGGGCTCTGAAATGAAATTCAAACTTGAGAACCATTTTACACTTCAAGGCCAATTCAGGAAGCCAGATTTGATTTTGAGAAATACAAAAAGCTAAAGAGTAAAAAATTGAAAGAAATGAAAACATGTGCTTTTAGAGTATTGAAACTTAAAAAGAATTATCTTTTTAAAAGATGTGATTCTTATCCATATATATATACTATTAATATTTTCTTGGTAAATATATGTACAACTATTATGGACTGGTAAATAAATAAACTTGTTTAGTGGCCTATATTGAATACTTTGATTAGGAAAATTTGATCATAAAGTATATGAAACATATATTAGTAAATTTGTTTTAATTTAGAGGTACCAGTTTTTTTCTGTGGAAACATTTTATGTATTCTTTTTCTCTGTAGGTTGTATACTTGGATGACTCTGTTTCTTCCTTCATACAAATTAGAGGATCTGTTCCATTGTTCTGGGAACAACCAGGTTTGCAAGTATGTATTTCATATTCATTTGTTATTATGTATTTCTCTTGAATAGGTCCCATATTTTCAAAGCTTTCAAGAAAATTCTTCAGTTTATAGCTCTTTTATTCCATCTAAATCTTGTTTTTGTTGCTGTCGTTAGGTGCCATCGACTTACTTGCAACTAGTCATCTGAGTGAAAAGTTCCTGGAGTTGTCTTGGATATTTTTTCTTTTAATGTTCTTTCAAATCATCCTATATATTCAACAGCTATAAATTTATTATAAAAAGTATAGTATGCTTTTATAATGAATTATTTTTTAAGTACATTCCTAATGTATAATCTGATTATATTACCAAAAGTCATTTGTTGCTGAGTCAGTTATGACTCATGGCAGCTGCAGTTGTATCAAGGTAGAGCTGTGAACCATGGGGTTTTCAGTGTCTCCTTTTTAAGAAATCTATCACCAGGCCTTTCTTCCCAGTCAGCCATGGTTGGAGCCCAGCACATTAGCCAAGCATAGTATCTGGGTGTACCACCCGGGAACTCCATCTCACTATCTTGGCATAGACCAATTTAGCTCTTTAGGCAGACATATGTAATAGTTAAAGACTCTGGTATCATGTCAACTAATTTGAATCTTTTCTTTACCACATGATTTAACCTCACTGTGTATCAGTTTCCTTCTTTTTTTTTAAAATTTTATTGTATTATATTTTGTGTGTGTACTGTCAAAACAGATCTGACTGGTACAGGAGGAGATTGCCCCTCCTTCTCCAGCAGAATATCTGGTGAATTTGAACTGCAGGTCTCTGGAAGTTGCCTTCTCTTTAAGTGATAGTAAAAATAGTACTTACTTTATGTGGTTGCTACAGAATTAAATGAAAAGCACTTAAGATAGTTCTAACTCTCAACATAAGTGTTTTGAACCAGTTTCTTATTCTTATAATCCATACTCTGGTATACTACTAGTGAGATTTTAGTCATTTGTAGTGACTGATACTCTAACTTGTTTCTGATGTCCTTTTTATCTTCTTTGTTTTTACTTTATTAATATTAATGCCTAATCTTTACAAGGGAGCGCTGATAGCCTAGTGCTAAGAGTCTGCACTGCAATCCCAAAGGCAGGCAGTTCAAATCCACCAGTTGCTCCACTGGAGGAGGATGGGCAATTTCCTCTCTCACGATTATTTTCTCTGAAGGGCCAGCTAAGGGTTGGTTCCGACTTCATGGTACACAACAGCAGCAACAATATTGAAAATAAACTTTTTGTGTGTGCTCATTTGTAATATTCAGTTGCTCATGATAGTGCTATTTTGCATTCTGTTTTTATTCTAAAGTAAACATACTAATTTTTATGTTTCTAGGTGTGAATAGTCTAATGAATTTTGTGTCTCAGTATATGTTGTTGTTGATTGCCTTTGAGTTGAGCACAACCCATAGTGAGTCTATGAGTAAAAGGCTTGAAGCCTTTCTATAACTATCAACGTTTATCAAAGTTCATAGTGTTTCCAGAGGTATGTTGTTTAGGGAGTGGATGCCACTCCTGCAGTTTTTTAAAACTTTTCGTTAACAGCTGAGTCTACTTTATATTCTGTCATATTAGTTTTTGTGGCAAGAAATTAGATGCTATTTGAGTGTTATCATACATTCTGTTTATTCTAGGCAGGCTAAGAACACAGAACAACAGTTGTACTGCTTGTGGAAGTCTTGACTTCCTGTCAAAAGCAATTTGACTTGTGTGGGGCTTTGGGGGGTTTTTTACACATAGGAGAAATTAAGTCTCTTTTGAACGAGCTTTGATGGCTTAGTTTATAGGAAGTTACACTGCTAATCCAAAGACTGTGTCTCTAGCGGTTGGAGTCCACCAGCAGGCCCTCAGGAGAAGGAAATGTAATTTCCTCCCATTATGATCTTGAAAACCCAGTGGAAAAGCAGCTGTGAGTCATTTCTGACTCAGCAGTATTAAGAGAACTCTCTTTTAGGGAGAAAATCCCATTCCTAGCTCAGTTCTTCTAAGCTTTTATAATTAGACCACTGTGTTTGGAATTTTTACTTTAAAAAGATTCTTTAAGCCTTGCTTTTTTGTTTGTTTGTTTCGTTTAAGCCTTACTTTGATGCAGGGTATAATGCCTTTGTTTTCAGGTAAAGCTTATGGAGATTTTTATAACCTAATACCATTCTGTTACACTGATTTGTATATGATTCTATGAAGAAGTTCAGTGTTTGATTGTCATCTTTGAGTGGGACCTCTGTCCCCCTTATTTCTCCTGTTGTACTCTGTGCTGTCCACACAGATCATCTAGCTGGCTAATAGCAGCATTCAATATAGACTGAAAACTATAGATTTTTAAACCATATGTTTCTTCATAAAGAGGAATTTTTGAGACAGTCTGAAGTTCTGCTAATGTGTCACAGAATTGGACTAATTATCTAGATTTGGGGAGATGATTGGGTCAGATATCCTCAGTTTTTTTTCTTCGTTGTTTTTACAGTTAACCTTTGATTAAGAATGGATTAGTTTCTTTTTTTTTAAATTTAGCTTGTTTATTTTTCATTTCAATGAACATCTACAGAGATTTTGGGATTCCATTCATTCATTGTTGCACCCTTCTCCCCGCACAAACCCCTCCCCCCTTGCCCCCTTTGCTCCTCTCCTTGAAAAGCAAAAGAAAAAAAAAAGAATGGATTAGTTTCACAACTATATTGCATAGCAAAAGATTCCCCTTACTATTTGAACAGTTTAAAAAGCATGTAATAGAGGAAGGAAATATATAATTAATAAAAAGACAAAATAGGTAATTGATTGTTAAAAGTAAAAATACCAAGCCCCAAAATTCACTGTCCTACAAAAGACCAAACAAGGACTTTCACTTTTGATTGCTTGTAAATTATTATTAAATTTCCTGTGTATTATCAGGACTGGAATTTACTTTGGGAATTTTAGGGAATTTACCAGGAGAAATCCTTGCAGGTTGTGAAATGCCAGATTTCAGAGTCTTGGAGAGAAAGTTTGGGGGCACTTGTCCTTTGATCTACTTTTTGTCCTCCATGATTACTTCCTAAGAGGCTTTTTTTCATTAACAGTTTAATCTTCTTGTGTGATCTTAAAATGTTGATTTATGGCCTCATCTTCGATCAGCTGGAGCAGAATCTCTTGGAATAGGGGCCAGGGATCTGCATTTTTACCTGCCTTCCCTGCCACTTGGTATTAAATCTTGTGTTATACAACAGTCCATCCCAGATTGCTTCAGGAACCAGGCCTGACCAAGAAGAGGCCCTTAGTGCCAGCACTTTCTAGACATAGGACTTTTTTCTTTTCTTTCTATCCTAGCTATTGTTGAAGTTAAAGTAAGTACTCATCCTTTTTTCTTGCTTGAAAGACTTTCAGCATTTTCTCATTGGTCTCCTACTTCCAGCCAGTGCTTCCCGCTAGCTGTGTGACATTTCTTCCCACTCTGACTGCATTGTGTTCATTACCTTATAGACATTTGTCTCTTTATGATCTTTAATGTATCTGTCTTCATATCTTGCTGTATTAAGGTTTGTTTGCTTTCCATAGCCAATTCTAATCTCATTGATTGAATTATGGTCACCTTTCAATGGTGATCTCTTCATTGCTAAATATTGCAGCTCTTTCAATGTATAATATTTTGTGGTGGGTACTTTGAGAATTTTGGACTCTACTGGTGCCTCACAGCTTGCAGTCTAGGACATCGGGACTTGTATGGTAAAGTTAAGTAACAATAGATGTTCATTTGAGTCCTTAAATGAGATCCATAAAGTCCTGTACTGATAAAGAATGATTCTTTTAGGTGCTGGAAATATACTTTATATTACTTTATTGTATTGTAGCTTACATAATTGTTGTGTGCCATTCAGTCAATTTTGACTCATACTGACTTTTTATATGGCAAAGTAGAGCTGTCCTATAGAGCGTCCTAGGTTGTAATCTTTATGGGAGCAAATCACTAGGTATTTTTTCCCCTGTAGAGTGGCTAGTGAGTTTGAGTCACTGGGTTTTTTTATTAGCATCCAGACCCATTTTACCACTGGGGTTTTTGTTGTTGTTGTTGTTGTTGTTGTTGTTGTTATGTGCCACTGAGTTACATGCAGCTCATAGCAACCCTATTACAGTAACTGAACACTGCCCCCTCCTGAGCCAGTGTCACTGACTCTGACACACCTATCCCATGACCTCAGTTGCAGTGTCAGTCCATCTCATCCAGGGTCTTCCTCTCCTGCACTGCACCTTCACCCCTCCTATCATAATGTGGCCACATGCCCCAAGTATTTGAGACAAAGCTTCAAAATCCTAGCCTCCAAGGAAAAACTTGGTTTTACCCTCTTTAAAACAAACCTATTTGTTCTCTTGGTAGTCTATGGTATATTCAGGACTTCTCCAGCACCGCAATTCAAGGGCATCAGTTCTTCTTATAACAGCCTTAGTCATTGTCCATCTCTCTGATGCACAGCAAGTAATTAAGCTGGGGTTATTGCTGCCTTCCATTTTCCTTCTCACTGCTATTGAGTTGAAATCCACTCACAGTTGAATCTCCATTTGGTTTCTAAGGCTGTACAGCACACGGGAAGAGATTGCCCATCTTTCCCCCACAGATAGCGTGGTGGATTTGAACTGCCAGAGATGTGTCTTTTGGATTAGCAGTGCAGCTCCCTACTGCCTATGCCACCAGAGCTCTCTTAGCTTAGTAAGTCCTTAAAGATGGTAAGCATCCATGAGTAGTTGGGGTATTTGTCCACCTTCAGTTGGCTAGCCATAGCTCAGGGAAACAGTTTGGAAACCTATTTGAATCTTATTGGTTACTTCAGATACAGGGAAAAATTCCTTGTGCCCTTAAAAAGAAGAAGAATTCCACTTTATGGCAGTTGATCAATCAGGGTGGGATTTACCACAGGTGGGGGTTGTTTGTTTGTTAAAAAACCACTCAAACGGGCAGGGTGAGGTTAACTGTACTTTACCATAAACTGAGTTTCTGATGACTGGTCCTTTCAATCACGACAGCAAGAGAGAATGTTTAATGTTTAATGATAATGCAGGCACACTTTGTTTTCTTGTGTTTGGCGCACAGTGCTTTTTTTTAAAAAGTCATTAACAAATTGAGTATTTGTGGCAGCCTGTGGTGAGCAAGTCCTTTGATGTCATTTTTCTAACCATTTGTGCTTCTTGTCTCTGTGTGACATTTTGGGATTCTTGCAGTATTTTATGGTTTTATTTGTTAAATGGTGTAACTGATTTGTTAGCCAACCACACACCCTCTCTGAAGGTCATTTTGTTGATAGACTGGCAAGAATGAATTCTGAGAAGTTTTATTCCCAGAGGTTTAAAGGTCAATGTTTAAAATGTTGTTAAAGAGGATAATCTAATCTGATTTCACTTCTATATTTCTTCTTTGCATCTGTTACATATTTCTCAGTTCTCAGTCTTTGTCTTTCTCTTGTGTGAAAAAAAAGTGTAATAAAACAGCATAGGTAGATATTTTCCATCTTCTTTAATTCTTCTAACCCATATTTTCTGATTTCATCAAATATAACTGCAGGATTGCATATTTAACTAGAAATGTTTGGGCTCTTTTTTTTTTCCAGAAAGGAAAGATATTTTTATTTACTGCACTTTTTGGTGATAGTGAATATTCAGCATGTTGTTGCTGTTGTTTGCCATTGAACCCAAATATTCAACATAGTAGAGGGGAAAAAACCCCACATAGATGTTGCACATATAGTTAACTTTGAACAGTAAGAATTAGTCCTCTGCATTTTCATCTGACTCTCTTAGTGATGTTGATCTAAGAGTTCAAATTATTTCACTTCTCAGTATTTAAATTTTTAATTGCCAAAATGTTAGCTTTTGTTAACTTACATAGTTACATGCAGTTTCAATTTAAAGCAACTTACATGAAACATTTTTTAAATGTTTCATAAATTAAAATTTCTACTCATTTAAAAATGTTTCATTATGCTATAACTTCTAATTTTTTTATAATGTTGCTTCAAAAATAAAAGGGAAAACCCCTAGAATTTTTGCTAAAAGAATGACACTAATGATGATTATTTAAATTTGTGTGTGTGCAACAAATGAATTGTCAGATATTGTAAAAAAATCCCTTTTGTGTACAGGTTTGCCTTTTTCATATGATTAAGTATATTATTTTTGTCCAAGGTGGGATCCCATCGTGTCCGTATGTCAAGGGGATTTGAAGCCAATGCACCTGCGTTTGACAGGTAAGTCTGATCATTTATATTTTCTGCTATACATTTAGGATAGGATTAAGCTATATTGATAGGATTATTGATTCGTTTCAACTTTTTCAGATGTCAGTGAAATTACGTCTGACCGATTTGACTGGAAGAGAGTGACAAGGTGTTGTAACTTCTAGAAATGTTAAATTACAGAAATGGTAGCACTGGATGTGTGGACCTTGATCTTGGCTGTAATATACTGCTGCCCAGTATGGTAGCCACTAGCCACAGGCACCTCTTGCACTCTTGAAATGTAACCAGTATAACTTGAGATGTGCTATAAATACAGTTACACCAAATTTCAAAGGGTTAATACCCACCTAAAAAGAATATAAAATACCTCATTTATATTTTTATATTGATTACACATTAAGATACTTTAGAAATATTAGGGTTGAATAAAATACACTGAAATTTATTCTTTGTGGTTTTTGGGTGTTGTTTTTTTTTTTTACTTTTCACATACACCATTTAGGAGATTTTAAATAACATGTAATTCCTTTTATGTTGCGTTGCTTGGTGGTTTCTGGAATAGTTGGAGGCTGGAAGGCCATATGCTGGGCCTAATTTTTTTAAAGCTAGAGTACTCAAGAGCAACGGTTTCTTTCTAGAGACTAAGGTGCGCCTGATACAGGCCATGGTTTTTGCAATCACTTGTTATGCATCAGAGAGTTGGACAATGACTAGGGAGGATAGAAGGAGAATTGACGCCTTTGAGCTGTGGTGCTGGAGAAGAGTATTGAATGTACCATGGACTGCCAAGAAAATAAACAGATTCATCCTAGAGAGAGTTAAACCAGGCTGCTCCTTGGAGGCAAGGATTCTGGGGCTTTGTCTGACATACTTTGGACATGTTGTAAGGAGAGACAGGGGAGAGGGACATCATGCTGGGTAGAGTGGAGGGACAGCGCAGGAGGGGAAAACCCTCTATTGAGGTGGATTGATTCAGTGACTGGGGTACTCGGGATGGGTGTGTCAGAGGCAATGAGATTGGCACAGGATAGAGCAGGGTTTAGGGCTGTTGTACATAGGGTCGCTATGAGTCGCAAACGACTCGACGGCACATAACAACAACAACAACAGTAGTTACTATCAGTCAGAACTGACTAGATAGCAGTATATAGGTAGAGTTTATTGAAGAAACCCTTCTGAATACTCAGAGTATGTGATGTCTTCATGTTGAGTACAGCCCTGGGCCCTCTGCCCTATCTGTATTCCCAGCCACGCTAGCAGACATGCTCTCTCTGCTATTCCAGTGCCAACCTCACAGATGGGAGAGAGCTGGCTGACTCAGACAGCTCCAGGGAAGGTAGGAGTTGATTGACATCACTCTGCTGGAGTGGAAAGAAACAGATCTCGACATTAGTATTTCAGAGGAAATAACATTAATTGGGAGTTTCTATAAATTCAAAGTTTTATGACCATAGAAAATGAATTTGTACCGAGTTTTGCCGGTTTTATTGTCTGCCATGTATGTTCAATTAAGTAGTAGATTCTTATTTATTGGGTTGGGGGTCAGATAGGACCACAGAAAACTCCCTTATCATTTGACATATTTTTTCCTTTATTTCTTTAATAGGCATTTTAGAACACTTAAGAATTTATATGGTAAACAAATCATAGTAAATTTGCTTGGGTCTAAAGAAGGTGAACATATGCTAAGTAAGGCTTTCCAGGTGCGTATAACTTTTATTTTCTACTAGCCTTTAGATACTAGCATAGTATTTAAAAAAAAAATATAGTAATAAGTAATAAGTTGTCCAGGAAGTAAATTACATACTAGAAAAAAATTAACTACTAGTTGGAACCTTCTCTGACTCTTTGGGGCTGTTAAAAAAATAGTTTAGTGTTGCTAAAATTAGGATATGTGCCACTTTCCAGGTACTTGGAACTGTCTTCTAATGTATTATTTGTGTTGTGAAAAGCAGAGATACACTTCTTTCTCTCAGAATGTCTGTCTATCACTCGTAGAGAAATATCAGGCAGTCCGTTTCCTCTTGGACCTAGTAAGTAGGGAGTAGCACTGCCAATCCAAAGGTGCAAGGTTCAAATCCACCACAACAGTCCTCCCCTCCTGTGCAATTCACAGCCTCAGAAAAACTACTGAATGTCAGCAGTATGTCAGTTCTGACTGCTGACTGCGACAGTGAGTTGAGTTGTTGAGAAGACATAGCCATTGTTTTAAACATATGAAACAGTGAATAGTTTGATATACATGCACAACAATAACTTCTGTCATAAAAACAAATACCCAAAGTCTCATGAGAGAATTTCAAGTCAAAAAGTATCTAGAGAAATGTCTAAGGAAAGAATCATTTAATGTTTCAACAAACAGATACATTCCTGAATGTACTTAGTAGTCTGTGCCAAAAAATTTGGAAGAACAACTGTCTAGCCAACTGGCTAAAAGAAATCTATATCTGTTGCAATTCCCGAAAATAGATGAGTCAACAGAATATGGAAGTTAACAAATAATATCATTAACATTACATGCAAGTAAAATCTTGCTGAAGATTATTTCAAAACAACTAAAACAGTACATTGCTGCGGCTTCCCAGAAATTCAAGCTGGATTCAGAAGAGATCACAACACAAGGACTATCACTGCTGATGTCAGATGGATCTTGGCTGAAAGCAGAGGAGGCCAGAAAGATTTCTAATTCTGTTTATTGGTTGTGCAAAGGCATTTGACTATGTAAATCATAATAGATGATGGATAATATTAAGAATAGGAATACCAAAATACTTAATTTGTTCATGCAGACCCTATGCCTACACCAGGAAACAGTTATCTGTGCAGAGCAAGGGCACATTGTTGTTGTTATGTGCTGTCGAGTCACTTGGGACTCATAATAACCCTATGTACAATAGCCCTGAAACCTGCCCTATCCTGTGCCAACTATACTGTCTCTGACACATGGTTTAATCAGGAAGGGTGTGTATCAGGGCTGTATTATTTCTCCATACCTATTCAGTTTATATGTTGAGCAAATTATTTCAGAAGCTGGACTCTGTGCAGATGAATGTGGCATCAGGATTGTAGGAAGACTTATCAACTTGCTATATTCAGATAATACAGTCTTGCTTAAAGTAAAAAGGACTTGAAACACTTGCTGCAGAAGATCTTCAGCCTTCAATATGGATTACATCTCAACATCTAGAAGATAAAAATCCTCACCACTGGCCCAATAGGCAACATCATGATAGTTGGGGAAAAAACTAAAATTGTCAACAGTTTTCATTTTGGATCCACAGTCAACACTCTTGATACAAGCAGTCAAGAAATCAAAAGATATTTGCATGTCTTTTGCCCATTTTATAATTGCATTATCAATCATCTTCTTGTGGAGGCCCAGGAGTATTCTGTAAACTTAGATTATGAGACTCTTGTCTGAGATGGAATTACCAAATGTTTGTTCCCAGTCAGTAGGTTTTATTTTCACTCTGTTGGGAAAAGTTTTCAATGCATACATAGATTTAATCTTTAGAAGGTCCCATTCATCAGTTTTATCCTCTTCAGACTGTACATTTCTGGCTTTATTTGGCAGTCTCTTTATACCTTGGAATAACGCTTTTAAGCTTGGTCCCAGTTTGTCTTTTATGAACTTTATGGTTTTGGGTTTTACTCTCAGGTCTCTGATCCACCTTGAGTTGATTTTTGTGTATGGTGTGAGATGTGGACTCTGTTTCAGCTTTCTGTAGGTGGCAGTCCAGTTTTGCCAGCACCGTTTGTTGAAGAGGTTGTCATTTCCCGTTTGATAGCTTTGGTTTCCTTGTTGAATATCATTTGACCATTTTCACAGAAGAAGATATTCAAATGGCCAACGGACACATGAAGAAATGCTCAAAATCACTGGCAGTATGAGAGTTGAAAATCAAAACCACAGTGAGGTACCATCTCACTCCAATAACAGCAGCAAAGTTTAACAGGACAGCAAATAATAAACGTTGGAGAGGATGTGGAAAGAAAGGAACTCTTAAACATTGTTGGTATAATTATAAAATGGTACAACCATTCTGGGAGGCAGTTTGGCACTTTCTCAAAAAGCTGAACATAGAAATTCCATATGACCCAGCTATTCCACTACTTGGAATGTACCCTGAGAAAATGAGAACTGAGGTACAAACGGAGACTTATGCACCAGTGTTCATAGCAGCACTATTTGCCATTGCAAGAATGTGGAAACAGCCCAGATGTCCAATCACAAATGAATGGATTGAAAAATTATGGTATACTCACATAGTGGAATACTATGCAGCAGGTAGGAGCAATGATTTTGTAAATTATTACCTAACTTGGGAGGGACTGGAGAGCATTATGCTGAGTAAACTAACCATTATTGTAGAATAAGTATTAGAATCCATGGGGGGTGGGGAATGGAATCAGAGGGATGAGGATGTACAGAGGGTGGGATTAATCATGGGGTTATATGGTTTGATGGGGGAGATAAGGGAAATTGGAAGAATCTGTTTTGGAAAACAATGTAT